CCCTCACTTACTATGGAGGCCCAGGTCACTTTGGGTGCCCAATCGGCCTTTTATCATCTTTGACTCATCAGGCAGCTGGTTCCCTGTCTTACCTCTCAGGATGTAGCTACAGTGATCCATGCAGTGGTCACTTCCAGGCTGGACTACTGTAACTCACTTTATGTGGGGCTACCCTTGGGCCTGATCTGGAAATTGCAGCTAGTGCAGAATGCGGTGGCATGCCTACTGACGGGGATGCCTTCGCAGGTGCGCGTGCAGCTGGTGTTGCGCCCACTGCACTGGCTGCCAATCGAATACTGGATCCAGTTCAGAGTTATGGTTTTGACCTTTAAAGCCCTATGTGCCCTGGGGCCATCATACCTGCAGGACCGCCTCTCCCCATATGAGCCCCAGAGAGCTTTGTGCTCTTCTGATCAGCACCTCCTGGTGATCCCCAGCCCAAGGGACGTCCACTTAGCCTCAACCAGGGCAAGGGCTTTTTCGGCCCTTGCCCCCAACCTGGTGGAACATGCTCCCACCCAAGATCAGGGGCCTGCGGGACCTACTACAGGTCCACAGGGCCTGTAAAGCGGAGCTGTTCCACCAGGCTTTGGGTTGAGGCAGTGGACATTCAACCATTCTGGCCTCCCCTGTCTATAGCCCCTTTCCAGTGCCCTGCTGCTTTAGACAACATCACTTGGGCACTGGAGCTTTTCATTCATCTGCCGCGAGGCATGGGATCTTTCTGCTATTGTTTATTATGCCGTCTGTTGTTTTATTGTTTTTATCCCTTTTATTGTTTTATGAATCTTGTGTTGTAAGCCACCCTGACCCCACTCGTGGGATAGGGCAGGGTATAAATGTAGTAGTAGTAGTAAAATAAAGACCTGGCAGGAGGGATACAGCAAGCTTTCTCCTTGACATGCTCTTTTTAATGTGTGCAGGGGATGGTTGTGCATCCACGAGCCCTTCTACACTGCAGTTTCCTGCAGCCTGAATTGTCACAACCTAGACACAGGTTCTCAAATCATCATTGAGAACAAGGATGTAGTACCAGAATGATTCCACCAATAAGTTTCACTGAAGCTGCACTCCTTTATTTAATATACCAGAATGATTCCACCAATAAGTTTCACTCCTTTATTTAATACCGTGTTGCAATATTTACGTTCTACCTTCCTTTCCATTGATGGGAGCTCACACACATGCCCCAGCTAAGCAGGGCACAGTTTGAGCAGATAGATCAATAAAACACATACCAAGCACACCCAAGAAATCCTCTGCCTCTCCAAAATAGCACTCCAACAAAAACAGCAATCTCTCCTAAAGGCCCTCTTGAACAACACTACTTTCAAAAACAAGCCTGGGAGGGTCCCCTCCTAACCTTCTCAAAGATGGCACCATGACCAAAACAAAAAGCTGATTTAACACACTTGGGTGTGGCAAGAACCAGGATGAATTGCTGGAGCAGATCTGAGTTGGTGCATAGATTTATGCCAGGAGAGAGGGTACTTTTATTTATTTGGGTGTGTAACCATGGATGAATATAGTGAGACACACAGACAGTCCGTGTTCATTATTTTGGATGGCGCTGAGCACAAGCAGGGTCATGTGTATGACTCAAATGAGTGAACAAAGGGGGGGCAACTGAACTTTAGTAGGCTTTTTATCTGTGCAAACAAAATTGGTTGCATCAGACTAGCATCTCTCCTGCAGTGTAGTTTATTTAGCACAATGGCTTGCATCTATCCTGGTTCAAAGTCATTTTGCATTCCTCCAAGCGAAGGGGTGGCCCTGTATTGCTAATGAGCAAAACGACAAATTGTTCAAAGAAATGGATTTACATAATCAACTGATAGTATTTATAATTTCCTTTTTGATTTGCATTTTGTTTTTCCGTTCAGAAATGAGCAAATGCTCCGGGAGGTGGAAATTTTATTCGGTTTCGCTGTACCTCCCTAACCACTCAGCCATTTGAATGGGCCGTAGTGGGGGCGGTGGTGGGGGGCAACCATGCGAAAGGAATGTTGTAAAGAAAATGTTGAGTTCTGAATTGTGCAGCCATTGTAAAAGAAAGTTCTGGTGTATTTTTTTTGGGCCTAATTCCTTCAAAGCTTGTAGAAGCAAATTGCTTGAAATCCATTCACGTGCTTCAGAAAGCTGTAAATTTCTCCGGGGGGGGGGGGGAAATGTAACTTTAAAAAACAGGATTATAATTCTGACCCTGTCTCCTCTGTTTTTTTTAATAGATTTTACGACATAATCATTGGTAATAGTATACATGAGGTTTTGTTTAAAGGAAATACAAAGACTTAATTGTACTTTTTTTAAAGGAAAGTATTGCATCAGAAGGATTCATTTAAATACATTTGGCTCTGGGCACTCTTCACAATTCACTCATTCTGAATTTCCCCTGGACTTGTTAAGAATGCAAAATATAGGAAGGAACGAGTCAAATAGCGCTTTTTAGATCAGTACATTCTGGCTTCAAAGCACAGTTCTGCTCATAAACCTCTATTACTAAACAAAATACTTCATTTTAATTCTATGTTGCAACTACAGGGTGTTTTTTTTAAAAAAAATCGTGTTGGCTAAATGTTAGCGCTGTTGTGAGTCACAAAAGAGAATCCTTCTGCTGTAATGTAGTTCTAATTGGCTGTTTGAATGGGCCACAGTAGGGGTGGAAGCTAAGCGAGCACATAAAAAGAAACGTTGGGAGAAAATGGTAAGTTCACAATCCCGTTCCACGGGCTTAGAAGTCCCTGTAAAGACGTGTGCATACATTAAAACATCTTAATTTTTTAAGGCTGAATAATTTTGGCAATTTAAATTACAACCAGATTCTGGTCCCGAGCTTCAAAATCACTGATAAAATGGTGGTTTTCAAATTACTCTGGAAAGCCTGCCAGAAATGACCATCGTGCCTCTTGAGAGAGGACTCAGCAACGTATAAACCTGCCATGTTCCGGCCCAGTGAGCCTGGAGCAGCCTCAGGTGAGGAGACCTGCCCCCGAGAGGAGGAAGAGGAGGTGGTGGGCCCATGTAGCCTGGCTGAACCAGCAGCCTTTGTCCAGAGAAGACTAGGTGGGCTGCGGCTTTTAAAAATTAAATACAAAATGAAAATAAAATTTTAAAAAATTGGGACTTTGTTGATGACCGTTCCACGGGCTTAGAAGTCCCTGTAAAGACGTGTGCATGCATTAAAACATCTTAATTTTTTAAGGCTGAATAATTTTGGCAATTTAAATTACAACCAGATTCTGGTCCCGAGCTTCAAAATCACTGATAAAATGGTGGTTTTCAAATTACTCTGGAAAGCCTTCCAGAAATGACCATCGTGCCTCTTGAGAGAGGACTCAGCAACGTATAAACCTGCCATGTTCCGGCCCAGTGAGCCTGGCGCAGCCTCAGGTGAGGAGACCTGCCCCCGAGAGGAGGAAGAGGAGGTGGTGGGCCCTTGTAGCCTGGTTGAACCAGCAGCCTCTGTCCAGAGAAGACTAGGTGGGCTGCGGCTTTTAAAAATTAAATACAAAATGAATATAACATTTAAAAAAATTGGGACTTTGTTGATGAAGCAGTAAGGAGCGCCAGCTCAGTAGCTGCTGGTGGAGGAAAAGACTAAAGCTTCGCCTCACCACAGATTGGTGGTGGTGGAAAGTTCCATCAAGCTACAGCTGACCTGGCAAACCCCATAGGGGTTTTAAGGCGTTCAGAGGTGGTTTGCCATGGCCTGCCTCCACCTCATGACCCTACTGTTGCTTGGAGGTCTCCCATCCAAATACTTGCAAAGGCCAATCCTGCTTAGCTTCCAAGATGTGACGATTATCAGACTAGCCTAGACTATTGTCAGACTCCCACAGCATCAACGAAGCACACACTTTGCAAGAAAGGTTTTACTTTATTTGAAGCTATAGGTGCATAAACAAGATCACTGTTCAGAATGAGGGTTAAGCAATGCGCATAATGAATTATAGGGGATTCAAAAAGCTGAGGCCCAATTGCAGGACTTCCCCCGCACGCCTTTGGGCCTGGGAGCAAACGCCTCTGAATAATCATAACATCTCTGCTTCTCACGGAGCTCACCATGAGATCACCCAAGCCACTATCCAGCAGCAACCACCTGTGGCCTTGAGAGATATGAACGTTCCTGCAGCTAGGCAATTAAGCGCATCAACAGGCATACATGGGAAAGTGAAAGCGCGCAAGCGCATGCACAGACTTCAGACAGGGGGGAAAACCTTTTGGCAGCTTGCTGACAACTATCCATTTTGGTGTAGTGGAGAGCTCTTTGGTGTAGTGGTTAATTGTGCGGAATCTAATCTAGGAGAACTGGGTTTGATTCCCCACTCCTCCACTTGCACCTGGCTGGATGATCTTGGGCAAGCTATGGCTCTGACACAGCTGTTCTTGAAAAAGAGCAGTTTCTGTCAGAGCTCTCTCAGCCCCACCTACCTCACAGGGTGTCTGTTGTGGGGAGGGGAAAGGGAAGGAGTTTGTAAGCTGCTCTGAGGCTCCCTTGGGTAGTGAAGGGCGGGGTATAAATCCAATCTCTTCCTCTTCTTCTTCGCGAGGAACTATCTGGGCATTGGCACCAGTTTGGTGTACCAGGGAAAGAAAGAACTGTCATTTTTCAAATTATTAAACTTACGCAAGGCAAAATTCCTTTTCTAAGAGCTATTAAATGGTGATGACTGTGCAGAGATGGCCTGGTATTGTATCACCAGGTGCCAAGCAAACGCATGTGTGTCAGACTGCCGTGGTGTTCAGCATCTGTTTAAAGATGAACACTTTTTTCAGCTTTCAGGAGGACTCATGGGGGGGGGGAATACACATATGACTAGAAATTAAATGCAGATCCGGAAAGGAGGTAATCCAATTCACTCAGAAAGTAACAAAAAGTGTTGCTGCGTCAAGGGCCTGAGGCGTTTTATTCCCTTTCTTGAAAAGGTCATGGGCAAATGATGAGTGTTAATTACGTCTCCATTACATAAGCTTCCTTTTTCGCTTGTTTCCCTGAACAGAATGTTGTAGAGCTCGTCAAGCCTGCAGATGCCCCTTTCCCTGCTCCCTTGGAAGAAGGTCTGGCTTGCGACATCTATTCCGCCTTTATAGCGTTAATTCCAGCTGCAGAGGATGTAGTCGAGGTGAGGGGGGAGGTGTTCAATATTGCAGTTACGTTGGTTGAGAATAACTTGTTCCTTTATTCCTGGCCAACGACAAAGTGTAAGCAAGATCACTGCAGTTCTTTTAGTTCCTCTGCGGAGGGAGTTGCTGCTTTAATAGCGCTCGTTAGGGGTCTGCATTCAGGTCTACCCGAGCCAAAAGTATACCCAAAAATACTTAATCGGTATGTGGCGGGGGGGGCATATTTTGGCATCCCAAATGTATCTGAGTTTTCTTGGGAAGACTGAAAAAAAATCCGCCAGGACAGTGAGAACTGAGAGCTCCGCTCTGCCTCGCCTTGGCGTTGGCTTCTCTTGTAGCAGCCCAGTTTAAACCAGGCTGCAAGAGAAGTCAACCCAGGATCATCTTTGCTCGCAGGGAGCAAACTGTTCCTGGGGGTGCTGCTTCTGGTGTACGTTTTTTTTTTCCCCTTGTTCTTGGGTCTATTGGACCTGAAAAAAATCGGGATTTCTGAAAAATCCTGGATCCGAATATCACATTGGCATTGAGATTCGGGATTTTTCGGGAAGCCCAGAATTTTTTTTAAAAAATAGGGAGGGGCAAAATTCCACACACACTCCCCAAGCTCATACGAAGACAGGAGGGCCTGGCATGATGTGGTCCATGGGGTCACAAAGAGTCGGACTCAATTGTGCGACTGAACAACAACAGAGCTCATACTGAATTTGGCCTGCCTCGTCTCCTGCACAAGGCACTCCCTAGCTTTCAGCAGTGCTCAGCCACTCATAGGGCCATCCAAAGCACCTGCTCCTTGGGAGGAAAGCTATGGCAAACCTAGACAGCATAATACAAAGTAGTGACATCACCCTGCCAACAAAAGTCCATATGTTCAAAGCAATGTTATGCCCAGTAGTAATGTATGGCTGCGAGAGTTGGACCATAAGGAAGGCCGAGTGCTGAAGAATAGATGCTTTCGAATTATGGTGCTGGAGAAGACTCTTGAGAGTCCCTTGGACTGCAAGGAGATCCAGTCAGTCAATCCTAAAGGAAATCAACCCTGACTGTTCCCTGGAAGGCCAGATCCTGAAGCTGAACCTCAAATACTTTGGCCACCCAATGAGAAGGGAGCACTCACTGGAGAAGACCCTGATGCTGGGAAAGATTGAAGGTAAAAGAAGAAGGGGACGGCAAAGGATGGGATGGTTAGACAGTGTTATTGAGGCAACGAACATGAAATTAAGTAAACTCTGGAGAACGACAGGAGTGCCTGGAGTGATATGGTCCATGGGGTCGCGAAGAGTTGGACTCGACTGTGCGACTGAACAACAAGAACCCCACTGACTTCAGTGGGCTTAAAAGTGCTGTCCTCAGCAGGACAAAGTATCCTCCTAAGCAGAATTATACCCTTCTAGGTCCATTGAAATCAATGGAAGCAGAGTTATACCCTTCTAGGCCCATTGAAATCAATGGGCTTAGAGGGACGTAACTGTGTTTAGGATGGCATTAGTCGTTGTTGTTGTTCAGTCGCACAGTCGAGTCCAACTCTTCACGACCCCATGGACCACATCACGCCAGGCCCTCCTGTGTTCCACCATCCTCTGGAGTTTGCTCAATTTCACGTTCGTTGCATCAATAACACTATCTAACCATCTCATCCTTTGCTATCCCCTACTTCTGTTACCTCAGTCTTTCTCAGCATCAGGGTCTTCTCCGGTGAGTGCTCCCTTCTCATTGAGTGACCAAAGCATTTGAGCTTCAGCTTCAGTATCTGGCCTTCCAGGGAACAGTCATGGTTGATTTCCTTTAGGATTGACTGATTTGATCTCTGTGCAGTCCAAGGAACTCTCAAGAGTCTTCTCCAGAGTTAGGATGGCATGGTCAGCTTCTAAAACAATATGGCAGCCTTCCTTCTGCTGATCAGACCGAAATGTCAAAAGTGACCTATTTTGCACCAACACAATGATACTAGTTTTGTGCACTGTTGTTCAAGCATGTGGGATTTTCCTTGTATTCATATCAGGAAACTGAGGGAGGCGTTCAACTGGAAGAACAGCCTGAAGCAGAAACTCCTGTAGATCCTTTGACGGGTTATTGCATTGATGACATCAAGTCGGTACTGGGCGAAGTGACCACCGAAATGATTAGCCACCTTCAGGTATTGTTACTGGAAACCTATTTGTTAAATCCGGCTCTAATGTTGTTTTAAATGCCGGTGATCTAATTGAATTGAGGTCAATGATTTTACGGTTTTTAACTGATTATTGTTGTTGTTTTAAATTGTAAATCTGCATTAACTGCACATATATACATGTTGGTACTCGCCCTGAGCCTACAATGTGGGGAGGGTGGAATATAAGTTTAAATAAATAAATGAAAGGTATTGTTTAAGCTAATTTCAGTGACTGTAAGCTGAATCTGTTTTATGCTAGTGGAATTTATCTGGATAGCTGGAATTTATCTGCAATACATTATGCAAGAACGTATGTTCACTAACACAATTTTATACATGTATTAGCTGCATCAACCTTGACTTGATCCTGTTCTTATTCTTCCTATGGTACCTTCTTCAGCGCCACCATCCCACCCTCATGAAAAAGCAAACCAAAATGTGTATAGATCCAAGTCCCTGCACAGAGCCAGTTATGGACTTAGTATAATTCCTAGGCATGGAAAATATTTTACGTGGGGGGATGTCATTTTTGGTGAGAGGGTTAGAATCCAAGTCTTACGAGGAAAGGCTGAAAGAGTTGGGTATGTTTAGCCTGGGAAAGAGAAGGCTTAGAGGGGACATGATTGCAGTCTTCAAGTATTTGAAGGGCTGTCATGTAGAAGATGGAGCGGATCTATTCTCCCTTGCTCCGGATTGCAAGACTAGATCTAATGGGTGGAAATTACAAGGGAGTCGATACCGGCTAAATATCAGGAGAAACTTCCTAACTGTAAGAGTGGTTGAGCAGTGGAACAGACTGCCTCGGGGAGGTGGTGGATGCTCCTTCGCTGGACATTTTCAAGCGGAGGCTGGATGACCAACTTTCGGGTAAGTTGTAGGGCTATTTTTCGGCTGAGCGCCTGCAGAGTGCAGGGGGTTGGACTAGATGACCTGCAAGGTCCCTTCCAACTCTAATATTCTGTGATTCTGTGTCTGGTTACAGTGAGGTCCTAAGTAGAATTGCAGCCTTTGGAGTCCATTGAAGTTAATAGGCTTAAAGGGGTGTAGCTCTGTTTAGGATTGCACTGCAGGTTCCTGTCCATTGATGTGAGCATCCATGTCATTTATGTTTTGAGCAATACCAGTACTCTTGCAACTGGTGTTGATCGTACCGGTTGAGAACTATGTAATCATTCACTTTCAGCAGAGAATTGGAGGTTGGTTTCTTTGAATTATTGGTGTGTTACGATTTTAGTTTGAGGGCAGGAAAAGACAGGCTAAAGCAGACCTTCACAGCAGGTGGCCTATCAGCCATATATTGTAGCTTTCCGGGTGCTTGACAAAGCAGCTCCCCAATTCTAGCGGTCCCGGATAGTCCCCCAACACAGGAAGTTTATCAAGCCACCTGATAGTGGGATTCCATACTTGGCTGTGTTTGGCATGGTCTGTCATGTATTCAGGGATGGCTATCATGTGACTTCCCAGCCTGGATCCCATTGTTAAGGAGTTGTCAGAGGTGATCCATAACGACTCAAACCATCATAACAGTGTTGGTAGGGTAACCTCATCCAGGATTGCTTGGCATTTCCAAGGAACTGCGACATTAAGTGCCTTGCCTTGTTGCTGTTAACAAGTAAATGTGATGACTGCTTGCCTACACACCAGTGCACACCAAAGAGAAAAGAAGAGGTTGAAATAGATTGGATTTGACTAACTTATGAGAAGTGCAGATCTCATCCAATTTCCCCACTGTTGTTTAGTCCATAAATATTACCTAGCAGGCTGGCTTCGCTGCTGTCTTGTTGAGAGAGAGCAGAAGATGAGTCAAGCGAATCCCCTTATGTTCATCATCTTCTCCAATAAAAGTATAGAAGAGAAAGAGTTCTACTCAAAAAGTTTACAAGCAGCTTATTCCCCCTAACTCAAATTAGGGACAATGCAACAGAACTCAAGACAGCACTGTCTTTAGGACTGGTGTTGAGAAAAATGGTTGAAGTCAAACTGTGAAACAGAGAGGACAGACTAGAAAATGTCCTTCAAAGACAGAAATCAGAGAAGGACAGGAACGTGTGACCTGCAGAATGAGAAATCCTCATGGATATTTATTATATGGCTCTTCTGTTCCCAGTTCAGAAGAGATTAACACAGGGTGAAAGATGGTTCAGATGTGCATCTGGTGTCTCTTGTGAATGAACTCCATTGCTATGACTGTGTCCTCCTGCCTACCTTTATTTCTTAAGGGGCTATCTGGCTCTTCAGAGCCAGTTTCAGGTTGGCCAAGTCTGCAGTGTCTGAACATAGCCTGACTCAAACAGGACACAGTATTTTGTTCCAGGATGCTGAAAGGCTGGACCACACATCCAATTACCATGTCAAATTACACAGGGAAGCCAT